ACCAAATTGAACATTGATCCGCACCCCTAATTTTTTTGTCGACGCTGTTTTCACCGAAAGCACGTATCGACCAGTCTCTCAAGATATACGACAACATTATCCACAGCTTTAATTTCGCTTAAAGCAGCGATTCTGTATCGTTGCATAGTTTAAAGAGACAAATGAAGCTTCCTGATTTGCAATGTACTGAGTGCTGGATAAGAAATGCAGCGTTCAGTTCATGCTTTCCATACTTTTTTTTACTCTGTGAAATGAAGTACCTGTTGGTATTTGTTTTTGTTTCTTTTTAGAAGGAACGAGGACTTTATATTTCGGTTAACACAAAAAAATTGAAACTAAAATAATTATTGGCAGGCCGTACAACATACAATGTGAATAATGACAGTTCCAGCCGTGACACAAGTGTCTTGCGCTGTGCGAACAGATCAACAAACTGGGTTGACAATTAAGTTCGAAACTAGAAATTTTCTCAAGGAATCGATAGAAAACACGCGTGAATTAATAAAATCTAAAATGGTGAAGATCGACACTGCGTGTGCAGAAAATCTTGTCAACGATACTGCGTGCGCACTTGGGCCGTGCCCAACAACCTGTACTTTGGGCGTCGCTAAACAAATGCTCCTATCCTTCTATCTTTTGCCTCTGCAAAAGAAGGGGAAACAAAGTACGCTTCCGAGCCTCTGAAGTCGTCTGCCATACGGTTTTGTCAATGTGGTGAATTCACAAAGATGTTCATTCATATAGCGCTTCTTTGCTATTTGACTATGTAAAATGCATGATTCTGTATGTGCAAGTCTTGTAGCATCAGCAATAAAACTACCTACAGCCAGTTTTAACGTGATCGCGTCTAAGGTAAGAAGCGTCCCTGCTTCTCACACGCGCTGAAGGACCTAAGAGATGAGTTTGATGATGCGCACAAATACACATTGAAAGCAATGAACAATTTTAGGCTAAGGAGCTGCCAAATAGAAAGTTTGCGTGACTCCGGTGGGGAGTTGAAATGGCGTCACCCATGCTTTGGGTCTATTCGTTCTAGTACAAGGGTAGAGCATATGGAGACCCATATACCGCCGGCTATGTTTACGGCAAGTCACCTTTCAATAAACTCGCCACATGCTGCACTGAAGATAGGAGGCTCCATCCAAGATATGGGCGGCCATGCTTAGTGAAGACCGCCATACTTCTTAATTAACGCCAGCGGAATCAGAGGGACCATTTTTTTTTCAATAATTGAAAGAGAACGTGCCTTATACACACAGTGCGCATTATGGTCTGACATCCTGTGCTTGAAATGCTGCAGAGGCTCTTTTTGCGTGGCTGTCGATACTGATGGAGAGCATCACATTCTCATTGACTGAACTCATAACAAAGGGTACTGTACTGACTACGCCATCGCCCTTTTTTATCGGGTATGATCTTTCTATCAGCCACCTACAGTGACACCAGCACGATTGGGTCGCCGTATTCCACGATCTGGGTCTTGCAGGCAATGCAAGCTGGCTCCCTTCTTTCTATCACACTGTCTCTTAATCGCTCATTCCCCTTTCCCCTGTGCAGGATAGCAAACCGGACGCGCCATCTGGTTGACCTTCCTGCCTTTCCTTCCTTTTCCTCTTCCTTCCTTCTTTTATATGTATGTACAAAACGAATTAGTATATTGTTCTACGTTTCAATTTTTAAGCAAATGAAGAATAATTCAGGTGTTTCTTTCTAATGGCCATACTGATTCCATTTGTAAATTTCACAAACAAAGCTTCATTAGCCATCCGCAGTACTCAATAGACATGGCGTCGCACTGTCGGGCCCGCGATGTCACGCCAGGCCAGCAGCATTCAGATTGGGGTGGGAAGAATAAAACGTCCCTGCATATGTATACACAGGCGCCCACTAACCAATTCCGCGGAGTCAGAATTGAGTGCACAACTAGGGCGTACTTCCTCATAAGGTCTTGGTTTAATGCGCAAAACCTGAGAATTTGATTTAATTGGGGCTCAGGGACCCTAACCTTTAGGCTCACCGTCACCAGCCGTTCATCCAATGCTATATAGCTAACACTCGCCAAAATTTAATGCGTCTCTTACAAGTCGGACCAAACATATTAACTAAAAGAATGAAACCGTAAGGTGCAATTCGTGGTAAATACACGAGAAAAAGTATGTATAATAGTCGCATTCGTTGATGGTCAATGTCATAAACCAACAAAAAAGGTGAGGACAGCTAGAGTGACCGAACGATATTGAAAAAACATGATGGCAAACAATGCGGTCATCATGTACATAGGGTCCACTGTTAAAGGGAACACCGGAGCACGTGTCGTCTGCTCGGCGCCACCGCCGGCCGGCTGCGGCAACCAGTTTCGCGCAGGAGCAGTGAGCGCTGTGGCTGGCGCTCGTTTGTCGTCTGGTTTACAGTTGCGGCCGCTCTTCAGCTCGTCGCGAAGGGTGGTCTATGTGGTTAAATCGTAAAAATTGTCGCTTTCTTTCGAGCTAGAAAGAAACCGACGAGAATGATCTATAATCAGATAAATGTCACCCGACTCATCGGTCGGGTGGCCATCATTCGTTCGCATTCTCGTTAGATAAAGAACGTCCCGCTTCGAGAAAGTTTTATGGCGGCGTCAGTTAAAGGCACTTGTATAGGTGGGCGATATCCACCCAGTTATACGTGTGGGTACAAGCCTACATGAGGCTTTGGGTTTTAGGGACAAACAGGAAAAGCTGACACGTCCGCAATAGAAGCAAGTAAGAGATGGTTAGAGTATTGGTGGCAGAAAAGTAGGGATAAAGGACAGAAATACTGGGGAAATAAGTTTCATTCTGTCTGAAGAGGCAGAGAGATCGAACATAAATTTACATTTTTCTTTGTTACAATAGAATCAATTCAATCGAAGTAGATAAGGCAACTGGCCAACATAAAAAAAGAAAGTTTTCTTTTTCTTTTTTGCGAGCCTGGTGACACACCGGTCACCCCCGTTATAAAGAGGACGTTCGTAGTATCCATCCATCCATGTAAATGCCTTGTTGAGCTTACGCACTGCAGCAGCTCAAATCAGCATTAGTGCGCGTCAAATACGCACTCCACAAGGAAAAATATTCTTTAATATAGCTATGCCAGAAAAGGGCGTCTGTAAAGAAGAAGGTATGCTTCTCTAACCACCAAATGTATCAGTGAGGTAGTATTTTACATAATCTAATTTCTTTTGAGCTTTGCCTCAGCTTTTCATCTGAGCGTGGCCATGCAGCCTGCGGACACATTTCAAATCGCGAGGACGGCTGGCTTCGCGACGAACTGAAGCGCGGCTGGAAGTGTAGCAGACGACAAACGAGTGCCGCCCACAGCGCTCATTGTTCATGCGCGAAACTACAGGCCGGCTGTGGCGCCGAGCAGACGACACGCGCTCCAGCGTTCCCTTTAACAGTGGACCCTTCGTACATATAAAGAAGACAGTGGCAAAAGCAGACTAAGCACGTTGCTTGCCCCCTACTTTTACGAACACATAATCAGACTTTTTTGAGAACGTAATGAGGGCCTAATTTTCCAAATATTGTTCGGTAGAGTCTGCATTCTTTATGCAAAAATACGGCACCAAATCTGTAATCGCACACAAAAAGAAGCAGTCGTTGAAAGAGTGCGCTCTCGACATTGTATGTACAGTACAAAACACGGCGATGAGTATAGCACACGGTGACTGTCTGTTGGGCTTGAAGAATCCTCGGTACTGCTAGAGCTGGCTCTTCTCCGCAAGCTCCGTTCTAACTTCATGAGTATTCTGAAATAGAGAGAGAGAGAGAAAGTGTTGTATACATGTGTCATACGGCATCGCTGCTCAGCTAAAGCGTAATTTTCATAAATTTCAAATTTAAGACACCATCTTAAACAAAAACACTACCTTAAAAGCATTTGCCATTTTGTATGACCTGCCGCGATCAATGGCAGCTGAGGGACACTATATAGCATATTTTGATCAGAATGCAAGCGAAATTCTGAAAATATAGAAGTCACGACTGTTCTATTTTAAGTGTTTAGAGTGGAGTCTACCTGAGATAAAATATCTCAATATACCAGAATCAAGCATGCGCAAACTATGAGCCCCGCCGAAATGACTCTTATTCACTTGACGAGGATAAAGAAGGAGCGCTGCACATCCATGACAACGCTTATCAATAGCCGCATGTTCCATCCTTTACTCTCATCATTTTGACTTTTTAGCCTCAGCACAACAGGGCACACAGTTCATACAGAAAAACAAGAACACGTGCTGAAAATTGGCGATTAACCAGCTATCGCGTCTTTATAAGGAGTTTTGTTTTTTTTTTACAGCGGAAGGAGGGAAGCAAGGAAGGAAGGAAGGACAGGGAGGTTTTTACAGTGGAAGCTGTTACGAGATCACAAGAAGGACCGATTCTGACGCCGCAGTTGTCCTCTGTCGCCGCCGCTGTCCGTCACCACTATCACACGAAATAAAAAATAAATAAATGAAGAATACCGAGAAACTAATGGTAATCAAACCTTACTACTCTGCGTGATCGCCCTGTATCTATACCTTTGAGCTGCGGGCCTGCTTGAAACTCTGGTGCGAACTGACCCTACGCAGGCTTCATGAGGGGTAAAGAATCACCTTGACATGTGCAATGAAACGTTTTTTAACAGGAGAGTAACAAGCAGGCGTCACACAATGTGAATTGCTTAACAAGTGGGTCGTTGAGTGCATAACAAGTGGGTCGTTTAATGCTTTAACCCATTACAAAAGCCTCAGGCATAATGTTTCATGGTCCTCAGCAAAGTCCGAATAATGCCTTACTACTATGTAGCGAGTGCACGGTTCTGTGAAGAATGACGAATAATGGCATAGTAGCTGCTTCCAGACTACCCAAAGATTATGATTTGTGGCGTAGTGGGTACCATGCAAGTGTGCGTGTAATATGTTGCCCCAAGAGTGTCATATAAAAAAAAAAGGCTCTTAAAAGGTCTTTCTTCCAGCTTTCGCTGAGACTGTACTGCGCGTTCCGTGCGAGCCTGGCGTTTTTTTTTTTATTATTCACGTTGTTATACATTGTTATTGGATCAGAGTCGCGTCTTTGCCAAACTGGAAAGCGCAGACAGCGCACACACACACACACACACACACACACACACACACACACACACACACACACACGCACACACACACGCACGCACGCACGCACACACGCACGCACGCACGCGCGCGCGCACACTCTCTTTATCTCTCTTTCACTCACGTACGATGAAAGAAAATGCTTTTTTTTTATATTTGAACGTGTATGCGCGCATACTCGCAATAGTCTTCCAGTTACCAAGCGTGCAGAAATTTAAGATTTAAGTACTTTAGGCAGAACATCAGTGTACAAAACAATACATATGTTACGATGTATGCACTGTACACTTGGGCCTGATGATGCTAAAGTTCGTAAACTACACACCAAGTTTATTTTGGCCTTCCGCGTGAAGCGAACAAAGAGATAGTATCTATAATTAGGTAACTTTCAAACCACATATTAAATATCAAAACCTGTTTAGGTACTCTTATTTGGTAGATCCCACGGTACCTCTATAATGCACATGGGACCTGTATAGCCACTCCCATCCCCCCCCCCCCCTTTTATGTCTTCTACTTTTCTATCTACCTCGCACATTCCCTGTGATCTTTTATAAACGCCCTTCAACTAACGCCGTTACAGACTATCTACAGGAAGCGAGCACACAACCACAAGACTTTTTATCAAAGTTCTCTTTAATCAATAAGTATGCAGAACTTAATGCGATGTTAATGGAGTAAATAATGTGATATAACTCCATATTTTGTTTTTAGCTATAGTGGAGCCTTACAAAACGACCCTTTCCAGTTACATAGTATAGGGAAGCCAGACCCACCAACAGCAACCATCGCAAAATAAGCATTTTTATTAATCAACATAATCTGGGCCACGATTTTGTAGCGATGCATTAAACTCGATCACTTTTATTACACTCATGTGATGATGCGGGCGGAGCATCGCTGACACGACTGACGAAGCACTAAAAGGGATAACATCGGAAAATAAAACTAAATTGCATATCGCATAGACTTTCCTGTTGCAAAAAGCTAACATAACCGACGCAACTACAAAGTTTGGGCCAGGAAACTTTAGTTGAAGTCGGTGATATTCAAGGAGGTTTATTCACTTATTTTTAAAGTACAAGCCCGTGACATTACACAAAGAAATACGTTGTGGTTGCGCGCCTCTCTGAAACTTCCGATATTTTTTTTCTTTCATTGAATTTGGTACGTCAACACCACACGATAGTTCAATGCAGTGCAGGTCTCGTGTCTCCATAGAAGCCACACTGGAGAGGTAAATAATGTGCGCGTGAAAAAAAAAAAATCTGTGTAGCAAAGAAACATTAAATGTATACAGCGCTAAAACAGCAAGCACAGATACACTGGGCAACAAAGCTGTGCACTGTATCATTGTATCGAGTCCACTGACATCAACGAAGGTCGTGTACTACGTAGAATAGTCACTAGGTTGTACTACATATACATAGTGCAGTATGAAATTGGTTTGACATGTGGCTCATCATAAACAGCGGTAAGCTAGCAGCAATAACGGACAAAAAATCGCGGTAGAACAAAATGCGTGCTGCTTTCGGTATGCGGCTACTAAATTTATTGAGCAGCCACGTTATCGAATTATTCGTGCTCAAGCAACGCAGGGAGGGTTGAAGAAGCCGAAGGTCACGCGCCGACGCGGCCGACTCCGAGAAGATAGCGACGGGTGCCAGCGGTAATTTTCCCATTCAACTAGCTGCTGAAACTCCCGTATCGGCGCTCCGAGCGCAGAACTTGTTTTTTTATTTCCGCCGCTCCCCCTTGCCGCAAGCCTGTTGCGTCTCCCGCCAAAACTGAAGAGCGCAGCGACGAGTTGCGCCGCTCGGCAGCCGTTCGGCATTTCAAAACAGCCGCTTCAAAGGATATTTGGACTTGTATAACTACCGTGGGTGAAAAATATCAACCTCGTCGTCAGCTGGTGAATCGGTGCTGTAAAGGTGTGTTAAAGTAGTTTTCTTCGCGCTATATTTACAACGATGTTCGTCGACGTGAAGAACCTTGAGGACGAGTTCTACTTGGAGGTGATTAAAAGCCGAGTGTTGGTTATTATTTCTACAGACGTGGATGCTGTTGCGGCGTGCCGCATTTTGCAGCAGTTGTTTCACTCGGACAACGCACTTTACACGCTTGTTCCTGTGTCTAAGAAAGCGGCTGTAGCAACAGCGTACCGCGATCACGGTGAAGGAATCAAGAACGTCGTATTACTTAATTGCGGTGCGACGTGGGACGTGATTGAAGAGTGCAAGCCTGAAAGCGACGACGTAGTTTTCTACATAGCTGACAGCAATCGTCCTGTGCACATTCACAACGTCTACAACACGAGTCAAGTGCGTCTTCTGATGCCGTCTTTGTCGGAGGAAGGTGTGCCGGCCTACGAGGACCTTTTCAGGGAGGACGACGATGACGACGAGGATGAAATGACCATAGAAGAAGTTGCCGACCGACGGAGAGAGCGACGCGAGTGGGAGGAACGCCGTAAACAGCTTCTCTTTGAATACACAGAGTTCAGCTATCATGGTAAATCAACTGCTGTCACCATGTTCGAAATGAGTTTCCAAATGACTCGACATACGCCGGAAATTCTATGGTGGGCGATCGTCGGGCAGTCTGAGCTGTACATCTCCGGAAAAATTGAGCACAATCGGTACGTATGCCATAGCTAGCAAAGTATTGTTGCCTTTTTTTTTTTTGCTTGCTGGGGGGGGGGGGGGAGAGACTTAGAGCGGATACGTTAAGAGGCTAAGCTGGGGCGTGTTGTTATTAATTTAATGGGCCTGAGGTATCTACTTCTTGCCGTTACTACCTGTGCTAGCTGGGGCGTGTTATTAATTTAATGGGCTTGAGGTATCTACTTCTTTTTGCCGTGACTACCTATGCTTGTTGCAAATATTTGTACAGTTTTGGCTAACTGGTTTCAAACAACACTACACAGCTGCTCATCAAGGACAGCTCATTTTACATTTACTTGACCTCTTTCTGCCCCCACCCCCTCTTCTTTTTAATTTGCAGGTATGTGCTGGAAGCTGGGGACCTTCAGGCACACGTTTCCCGTCAAATTAGACAAAGAACTGCTGCACTGGATCCTTTGGCAGTGCAAATATCATTCGACCAGGAGCTGAATCTTCCTCTGTACACACAATGGTCCCTCATGGAGAGCCTGCGAAACACCCCAAATATATTTTGCAAATTTAAATTGTGGACTCAAAAAGGCTACCGTAAGCTACAGGAGTTCCTAGCAGAACTTGGCCTACCGCTTCTACAGTGCAAGCAGCAGTATGCTTCAATGGACATCAACCTCAGGAACAATGTGAAAGAGTGGATGTGTGACATGGCCGAAAAGTATGGGCTTGAAAACCTACTTTTCGCCTGCTTCACTGGCAGATGTGGCTATCGGGACCACTTCTTTGCCTCTGATGCTGCATATGGCCTCATGGCTATTCTTGAGTCTCCTGTAGGTGATGTAACAACCAACTTCTTTAATACACTTGATGCCCTGTCATGGTCGAACACAGAGCTACTGCGTAATGGCATTCAGCTGGCAAAAGAGCGCTTGATAGCCACCACGCAGCAGGTACACTCATTCATGGATCTTGGCAGTATCATCTGCGCTGGGCCCTTTCTGTATGGCACTGTGCAGGAGGGTGCCCAACACAGTAAGCTTTTTGGATGGCCAAGCGGTCTCTTTCAGTTGGCCCGATGTGCATTGCAGGCGTATGTGGCCAACACCAAAAGCCGTCGCTTTGCCATCCTCCCCCTTGTGCTAGCAGCTGACTATTCAAGTGACCCTTCTTACACACTGGTTGTCGGCATCCCACCATTGTCCGAAGATTCACCAAAGAACTTTTTTGGCCGTGCTTTTGAGAGGGCCAGCACAATGACACACTGTACATATCAAGCTGATTTTTTCTGTTCACCAGCTGTTTTAGTATACAAGCAAGATCGGGGCAAGTTTCTTGATGCTCTTGTGTCGTTGTTAGTTTGATTCATTACAACACTGCTCCCGTTGCAGCTGCCATGGTATGGTAGTCTGTAGGCTGTACATATTGTAAGATTCCTTCTATTTAGCATGCAATTTTTTAATGGAAAGTGCAAGCAAAATCGCAACACTAGTCTTAGCAGGTCATTCTGCGATGGTTTTTAAGAATGCTATTTATTTTATGTATATTTATAAGGGTTTTCTGTATGTTTTCTACAAAATGTTCATTTGCTGCAATTTTTCTGCATCGTTTATCTCATATACAAGCTTCTATTGTCCTAACCTGTCATATTACCATCAGTGAGTAGTTACGATGGTCTTATTCATCCTGAATATGGATTTACCTTTGATGTCTATGATAAAATAATTCTTTTACATCTATGAGCAGACATGTTTAGAGCACTTGTGTAATGTGGTCTGACGGTGAAATCATTTATTATAGCAGCAAGTAATGTAAAAAGCTGTGCGGTACTATTGAAAAGTTGTGTGTTAATGTGTGTAAATAGCAAAAGGGAAATGAAAGTGGATGAAAGAACACTTCTCAGCTGAGAGCCTGACTCATCTCCCACAATGCTCTTGTTACACTCTAATGTTAACCTGTAGTGGTGGCTATCCCTCCATCAACTTCCTTGGGCATTTGTGAGTGTTCATGGCTTTAGCCCTGGTACTAAGAGCCACTGCCACTCACAGCTGATTTAAACTATCTTTTAACACCAGTTGTCACATAGTGGTCAAACCTAACGCAGTCCACTGCCCAAGAAATCTTTTAATATTACGTCACGATATGAAGGCTGCCAAAGTTGAAGGGCTTCCTGTGCATTGAGTGTTGTTCTGTGGCAGTGTTACAATACCTTGAAGCAAAATTTTAATAAAACTACTTGCGTAAACTGGCTTGCATTGAGCATTAAAAATAGCCTCCCCATGGTTGCCTAGTGGCTGAGGTATTCAACTGCTGACCCGCAAGTCGCGGGATCGAACCCCGGCTACAGCGGCTGCTTTTTCTATGTAGGCGGAAATGTTGTAGGCCCATGTGCTCAGATTGGGGTGCATGTTAAAGGACCCCAGGTGGTTGAAATTTCCAGAGCCCTCCACTATGGTGTCTTTCATAAACATGTGGTTTTGTGACCCCACATATCAATAAATTGAGCATTGATAATATTCTCTGGCCAGCTTCTGAATAGTACTAATCAGGGTTGCAAAAAAAGCAAATGATCTCATGCAAAGGTGCAGCCAATAAAAAAGGGAGAAATTATGTTAAGTGGTGTGCTGCTGGGAAATTTATATGCAGCAACATTATGCACGAAATTCGCTGAGCACTGCTAGTGGGCAGCTATATCCTTCATTGTGCTCAGAATAATAAGGAAAGTTCCTAAAATTGCACTGGGCATATTTGGCACCTAATATACATGCTAACTGTTATATACACCCTAACTGTTATATATATACACCCTAACTGTTCTAATATAAACCCTAATTGTTAATATACAGTTATTCGGAGCATAAACACTGCCAACTTACCAAATGAGTACTTGGGGGTAAAACAAGCATAACGCCCCACGTCTAAAGCACAGTTTTTATCGTTGAACTATAATGTGCCTGGTCACTGGCATCTGGCCCTATAACTTGTAAGGCTATTTATTATTCATCCAAGTATATCCATTTATTTGTCTCACCTAGTGAGAACAATTGAAGCTAATTATGAGGAACTTAAGGATTGAGAAATAACTGCTACAAAATATGGGTGAATATTGACCCAGGGCTTCAATATGCATGGTGAGTTATATTCTTCAATCTAGGTAAACATCTTTTTTTTTTCTTGGTAAGTTAATGAAGTATATCTATGCAAAAAAATTACAGGACCACTGTGAGAACTTGAACTGGTATAGCGCATTATGGGGAAGAAGAAACGGCCGAGCAGACCGACACAAGAGGACAGAGCGCTAACTTCCAACTGAGCTTCATTGTCAAACTGCATAAAATATGTAGACCGGCGCAAGCATACAAAACCACCCTAACGCAACGACAAGATAACATAACATCACACCATCACATATCACAGATTCATAGGCGGTTATCCTGATTAAGGAAGGCCACTTCATGTTCAGATAAAACCAAAGAAGGGGCGCTAATGCACGTGCTGCCAGCTCTTGCTATACAATGCGCTTGTATAATTTCTCGAGTTAATTGTGACGGGTGCTTTTTTACCACTTCGCATTGATCAAACATGGGGGTACATCCACAATCGCGGCAGTGAATTCCAATGTGGCCCTGGATTGCTTTGTGAACATTATAATGGTGCTCTTTTAGCCTTTCATTAAGGCATCGCCCCGTTTGGCCAAAATACCACATGAGAATGGAATCGCGTAAACAACCCCCGCTACACACGGCACAAACCGAGTTTTGTGCTTAGTTGCGCAACCAGTGGTACGTGATTTGAGAGGGTTGACTGCTTTGCAAAGCCGCTGTAACTTATCCGGCGCTGAAAACACCACTTTGACGCTGGATTTCTCCCCTATCTTTTTTAGCCGGTGGGAAATGTCATGCACGTAGGGTAAAACTACGGGTCTTTTACGGTCGTTAGATTCTGGCTGAGCCTCGGAGTTGCAGCCTTTCTTTATCTGTTTTAATAGCTTTTCAGCTATAGATGCCAGTAGGATAGCTGGGTACCCAGCACTCAAAAGCCTTTCAGCTTGAGCTGCAAAGCTGCGCTGCATGACATGATGACACGATTTCCTAAGAGGATTGATGACAGAAAGATTTGTGATGCTGCGCTTAACTAACTTGGAATGGGAAGAGTCATAGGGTAAAAAGGGTTTCCCATTTCTAGGTTCAAATAGCCAGCACACATGGTCAGGTGAAAGAATTAAATTCAAATCTAAAAAGCGTAAGCTATTGTCAACTGGCAACTCGTGAGTCAATAAAAGCGGTTTAAAACATTTTTTAAAAGTTATTACAATACCGTCGGTTAGGTGCTGGCAGGCAGCGTCGCTGCAGTGCTTAATCAGGATAACCGCCTATGAATCTGTGATATGTGACGGTGTGATGTTGTGTGTTATCTTGTCGTTGCGTTAGGGTGGTTTTGTATGCTTGCGCCGGTCTACATATTTGATGCAGTTTGACAATAAAGCTCAGTTGGAAGCTAGCGCTCTGTCCTTTTGTGTCGGTCTGCTCGGCCGTTTCTTCTTCCCCATAATGCACTATACCAGTTCAAGTACGACGAACCAACTCGCCCAATCTTCAACACTCGTGCACTGTGAGAAGCCATCGGCAACTCGAGCATTGCAAACATAGCACACATTATTGAGGCAAAGTCGCAAACTGGTTTCAGTGCTTGCGGCTCAAATGTGCATCTTGCCACACAAAAAAAAAAAGTTAATGCTTACTGCTGAAATTAGAAGGTTGGCTGCTGTTGCAGTTGGGCATACGATATATTCTGAACTACTTGCAGAAATTGCAGCTAAGAAGTGTTTCAAGCCTTTTAGAATGGCCCATATCTTAGTCCATGGGTGATATGTTTAGCTGTTATTCTAGGTAATTCCTGAGCAAACAAAGTCCACTCTATAAGAACTTACATAATCAGTTATCCATAAAACTTGACTTATTTCCTACTGTTGGAGGAAAAGAAATTTGTGGGAATTCTATGCGTCTACTGTGGTAGAGCAGTGGCTATGGTGCTCAGCCGTGGGCGGATCCCGCCACTCATTTTAGGGGGGGGGGGGTCACTTGAAGTAACATCGGCAAGGGGGGTGTGGTCCTGACTTCTTCATTTTAGTAGCACAAGAACTCCATCATCACATGAATACTCTTAGTGTCTGAACAGACTGTTCCCACTCATTCGTCCTAATTGGTGATAGGAGGTGGATGGGAAGCACTGAAGAGAGGGGGGGGGGGGGCAGAGTGCTGACACCGGCTTTGGGAGGGGCGCTCACCCCTACCCCCCCACTCTCTAGATCTGCCATTGGCTCTGCTGCTAACCCGAATGTTACGGGCTAAATTCTGGCCACGGCAATCACATTTCTCTGAAGGCGATATGCCGCAGACTTGTGTACTGTGCGATGCAGTGCATGCTAGAGAACACCAGATGGTCGAAATTTTCAGAGCCCTTCATGAAAGTGTCCCTGATATTCATATCGTAGCTTTGGGACATAAAACCCCATATATTAATTAGTCAGAAATTATTTAGAAGTTCCTATGTTGTCTTCTACATTGGGCAATTTAAAATGCAGTTATTATTTTGTTTAGTGTAATGCATTTAAAAATGGAGTGCTTACAATTATTGCACTAGGCTAGGTGTAGAAGTTACATCTTTTAAAAAAAAATGTGTAGTCTACAGATGGAGCAGCACTCATGTTAAAGTATTAGTTTGCGTCTATCACACTCCACCTGACTAAAGGCAATAAAAGTAACAATAACTGAGAAAATAGATTGTTGCAAGTAGAGGTTGATATTTTTTTACTTTACATACTGCACTACTCAAATTAGAGCACCACTTTTTTTATTAAGGTAATCAACAACCGAGCAGTTCTTTAGGTTCAGAATAGGTAAAGCTGGGCTTGTTCTTTTCAATTGAGCACCCTTATCCAGAAAATTACTTTGAGAGTCTGAGATAGTGCTCATATAGATAAACTGTAGTAATATTTTGGTTAATATGGCGTCTATAAAAACATTAGTCATGAATATGCTGTTTTTAAAGCTTGTGCTTGCACTTTAGGGGCAAGTTTCATGAGAACTGTCTGAAGAGGGCGCTCCTGGGCTTGTATAACTGGTAAATTGTAAAAATCGTTATATTTATCAAACTGCAGTGGTCCTGCATTGAAAGTTGCGAAATAGTCAGTTTAAAGAGATTAGTGCATATGTTTTAAACAGACAACCTTACTGTTGATGGGCAAGTGCTGAAGTAAAAGAGTTCCTGCAGTCTGCACAGTTTGTTTCTCAAACTGCATATATACATTTTTTTCCCAATATGCATTGCAGCGAACCCTCCTGAGCTAGGTGGCTCATTATAGGTGAATTATTTATGTGTCGCAAGTTCCATGCTTTATTTCACTTTTCAGATGAAACATGTGAGGAACTGTGGTAGGGCTGTTCTGAGAACATTTCATTCTATTCCCTTAGAACGCCAATCAGTATATTCTGGGAACAAAATTCCATGGATGGTCATGTCATTCAAATCCTTTAAATGTGACTTATGAAATGTGTGTATAAAATGCATGTATGAAATGTGTGAAGCATATGTCCAAAGCATGTGCTCCACGTTTACAGGAGCATATTGCACTGGGCGTTGTCTATAGACGGTTTCGGCAGTGCCTGCTGGTCTCTGGCAACATTGTGTGTTCACCGAAAAAAAAAACAACCTGAAAACGTCCGGTTTAACTTGTTTTTGCAAGTTTTAGCCTTCGTTGCTGGCCGTGGCTGCTTGTGTTTCGATCTTCTGTCCGGATAAAATTATTCGAATGGAGCACTCGCAACTCGAGCACAGCTGTGTGAAGCCAGGATGCAGCGCGGAAGCCTGCACTAATTTTATATGCTAGTGAAAACATTCTGTTATCCGACCGATGACGATAGATGGAGTGCCTGGATTGCAGCGATCACGCGAAAAAACTGAATTCCCACTAGGAGTGTCCAGGTTTGTTCTGCCTACTTTATTAAAGGCAATGTAAAGCTCAGCGCCGACTAATGGCTCAGAGACGATACTAAAAGACGTTAGAGGTTACCGCCATCTTTCACCCGTGGCAGATATGTGTGTTCTGACGCCTGAAATGGGTAGCACAACGTAAAAACTAACACTAAAAATCTATCGCAAAGGTGTTTGAGCAACAACATTGATGTTTACTGTTCGATACAATGTGGGACACTAAGTAGCCACACTCAACATGAATTGTCGCGTGGTGTACGTCGTGGTGTCCACATTTTG